TCACAAGTTTTAATTTACACGACTGTATACTAAAAATTACCTTTGAAGGTCTTCATCTCGGCTTTTAGCTTCTCTTTAGCTATAGCTTCTTGATGAATTAGTTCATCATTGCAAGCAGCCAGTTGACTTTTCAGTGCAAAAATCTCTGATTTCTCCTGAAGTTGACTTTTTTCCAGCTTCTCTTGTAATTCCTTGAGTTCTTGTTTCAGAGAGGAATTTGTCGCCTCCATCTTTTTCTCGTTTTCTAAAATTGTTAAATGCGTTTAGAAAATTACGACTTAAAATATCCTCCTCTCTTTAGACAATTGATTACTTTATGCCAAAATATTTTACCCTCTTTCTGATTGATAGATGCGTCGTTCTAACCTACGTAATTGCCTGTTCATCAACTAAAGGTACGTGTTGCAAGTTTTAATTTTCACAACTGCATTATTAAAGTTACCTTTAAAGATTTCCATCTCGGCTTCCATGCGCTCTTTTTCTGTGGCATCTTTAGCAAGTTCAGACTTGCAAGCAGCTAGTTGACGATTCAGAGCACAAATCTCCTGAGAAAGAAACGACTGAGCGATCTCTGATTCATCCTGAACTTGACTTTTGTCCAGCTTCTCTTGTAGTTTCTGGAGTTGTTCTTTCAGAGAGGAATTAGTCGCCTCCAACTTTCTCTCGTTTTCTAAAATTGTCCAACGAAGTACGCTTGAAAAATGAAGACGGTCTAAAGTAATGCCATTTTGAAAAAATGGTTTGCTTTATACTATAGTTTTTTCCTTTTTTATAAACATGTAGTCCTGCGTTAAAAAAGGCTCAGTGAATGTGAAGTGGCTTCCCTTAAAGACAACACAACAACCATGATCTCCAGTTATGACTTTGGCTACCGGTGCCTCCAACATCATCTCAAAATGCTGCCTTTACACCCATTTAATAACTGAAAGTAATTAGAATACATACAGTAGCGTGTTTACTTGCCTTTGGCTGACTGCAGCTCGTCGCTAAGTTTTTCCACTTCTGCTTTCTTTTTAAGAAAGTTTCCTTTAGCTAGGAAAGTGTTCTTCTTTGCTTTCTTTCGCTGCTGTTCTTTTTCTGAAATGAGAGAGATTGTTTTAAATAATCTGGACGTTTTTGGAATAAATAGTCCTCAAGGTTTTTTTTAATTACGAAGGAAAAACGTTGCAAATAAATATTGAAAAACAAATAAATGAAAGATTGCAAGCTAGGGTTGATTATATTTACTCTATGACTACCATTTTGGAACGAGCTGCTATCGATCTAAGAGATGTTCAATTTGAGAAATGCCGTTATCAAAAGCCTAGTTAAAATCTGCCAACATCTAAGGAAACGGCTAAACAGGAATTTTTTCCTATTGTACTTCTCGAGAAAAATTGGTTTGTCGGGCGATGGCAACCAAAAATTTTATGGAGATGGCTTAAGTTAACCGCAAGGATTGGCTAATATATACACAACTTACCATCACATTCCGCCTCAAGAGCAGCAATCTTCTGCTCGAGTACTTTTTCTCGCTTAAGCTACAGGACAAAAAATAAAATAAAATTGAAAAACTCTTAACGTAACCTTGTTTTCCTTTTTCAGATTAACTATTGCTGCAAATAAAAAATAAAATTAAGGTCATCATGGTACATAGAGTGAAGCAAATCTCATTAACTGCGTCCGGAGGTATTCCCTCAAGGAAGCTTGAGTTTTGTTACGAAAGTTCGATTAACCTTTGTAAATAAAATTAAAACCTCATAAACTTATAGTAGAATAAAGGATCTGAAACTAAATCTTAAAAACCTTCAAATGCGTATCACTTGCATGAAAAACTGATCAGGTTTAATTTGTTTAAACTCAAATAAAACATTGAAGCTGCGTCAGAAATGAAACAATCACCCGCGCGCGCTATTTATCTCACTCGCAGATCGATTAAAACCCAAAAATTTGAAAAGATTTTAAAAAATCTTTTGAACGGATCGGACTAAGTTATTTGATTTCTAGTTTCAGTATTATTTTACATTTCCTTTGAAAATTATCTTAAACAAGTGTTTGTTCTAATCGTTTTCGGTCATTTCTTCCTATAAAATTCCAGATAGACAAACACTGTAAGTTTTAACTTCTTTGTCCTCATGTAGCACTTAAACAATTTCTTTGAGACGATAGCCAGGCGCGTGATACAATAAAACAAATTTGTCATCGTAAAAAAAGCAAGAAAAAGAAAACGCTTACCTCTTTGGCCACCGGTGAATTTTCAAGCGGCTCGTAGTCATTTATTGGTAAATCTGTAATCCAGAATCCTTTTGAAAGAGCACGTAAAGAACTGGAAGCTTGTACTCCCGCAGTTTCTTCATCGCCTGAGGGTGTAATATGTTCGTACAAATAGTTTACTATCTCACTCGAAGTCTCTGATAACCACGAAGAATCCATGTTTTTACGCAGTGCTTCAGCAAGCGCTCAACACGAAATCGGAAATTTTCCAATCTGATTAGTTGCTATGACAATGCCTTGGTAACTGATTGTGTTTATATCCTACGTCATGTATCAACGTCATGCCAGAGAATCATAAAACTGGTGTGAAGCCTGGGAACTACAAAATTTGAACTCTTCGCGCGCGAAATAAAAATTCTCCATTTCAAGAGCGTGTTGGTACGTTGAACATTAAAGAGATTAGTTAAGGACCCAAGGTAAAAAGGAAAAGCAAACCATTTTGTAATCTCTGTTTTACAAAACTGAAAGGTGTCAAAATGAAGAATTCAGCAAGGATGGATTCGTCAAAAAATGTCGTTACTTACTCTCGAATTGTGAGATTTTGCCGAGCTCTGACCATATAACCGGTCCTAAAGTGGCGTGCACACAACTGTCCAATCTTTAGAAATAATATACTCACCAAATGGGTAATAAAAGTGTAAGTTGTTCAACAGAGGCTGCAGTTTAGGTCAGGCTGATTTATAAGTTGCGCGCACGACGTCGTTGTATAAAAAAGATTTGAACTGATATGACAACAGCGGGTTTTGTCGCGCGCACTTCTGAATCTAGCGTAAACTGGATCTCGCGCAAAACGCTGCAATCAGTGTAAACATTTCTGGAAACGGACAGCTCTGCGGGTTGACTCTAAAGCAATACTTTACCAGTCTTGCCACCGCGTGCTCGTCAGTTCCGACGTTTTTACCCTAGCTGTTGCAACTTCCACTCGATAATATGCGAATCTTATCAGGTCGCTTTTTACGAACAGGTGTTTTGCAAGGAATAGCACCAGAACCTTTCGCCTGATATAGATCAGGTTCAGTGATCTAAGATTACTCGGATCATGGTGCATCGAAGGCACTCATCAGTTCCTATGATGTACCATGATCTGAGTGATCCTGGATCACTGATCCTGATCCACATCACCCCAACGGAACGCCCCCTTAAATTTTGTCCACCTAGACTAAAGCAATTTTTTGTTGGAACTTTGGAAAGATCTATTGTTCCTGATGCTTCCAAGCAGTAGCAGTGCCATGCTTTAAATGTTAAAGCAACCTTTTTTTCCAAGGTTTTAGACAACTTCAAGAAAGACAAACGTCTGGTGTGGTCCGAGCAGTTATTCCAAACAGCCACAATATTTAAAACAGGCTTCCTTAGTTTGCCTCCTGAGTGATTTTGGCACAAATGCTTGACTATCAGAACAAACCTATTTTCCCGGCATTGTCTTATTTCCATTATAACCTGCAATCAGGCATTTCTTTTTCCTTTTTCTTCTCTTTAAACAAACAAACAAACAAACAAAAAAACACTTTATGGCAGGTTTATCTACAGTCATAGCAAGTTATCGTGAAAACGTGTCTCCCGTCCCTCAAGCTAGACGCGATTTCCAGCCGTTCACTGAACCCGCGTTCCTTGCTCCGTTAGGAGGAGGATCAACAACCGGACTCCCAAAACGGCTGGAAAAGTTTTCTCGCTGGAAATGATCGAGTCTACCCTCTAGCCTGCATTGGATTCGATCCAGCCCACTTCGTCTCTGTAATTCGGATTCAAACTCGCAAAGCAATGTCCGGTATCCGAATCGATTAACCCTTTACCCCCTAAGGCGAACGGCAGTTTTTCCCAAATCGGCAAATAAAGACACTCTGCCTGTGTNTTCTGATTTTGGAGAATAAATTTCAAAAATTTGCACTTGTCAAGTTTCTGTTTAAATTACAAACAGAGCTTTAATTTCCTTTGTCGTGACTCTGAAAATATCCTTTTTTGACTCCTTGAAACAGCATAACTTAAGCTTGGTTGTTTTTGAAGTTGGTAAACCACCTTTATCTGGATTGGCTTATTTTCTGAACATATTCAATTTGAAAACAAAACATTAATTGAATGATTGAGTTTTAATTGATTAGAATTAATTGATTTATCACCAAGTTTTCATTTTTCATTTCTTTTAATGAGGTGATTATCAGTGAAATAAAATGTGTATTCTCACTGGTGAGGTTGTTATCTCATAGCCCATAGTTAATTATTCAAGATCACATTTCAGCACTACATGTAGAATTGAATTCTGATTGGATTATTCAATGTTACATGTAATTGAAAAATTTCCCCATTTGGAAGAAGTGATGATTCCCTTATGATTTTTGTAACCACTTGTTGATCCCTATGATTGTAATTGAAAGGTTTTCAGACATAAATTTTGTAATGTGCAGTTGGCAAAAGGTGTTATTAAGATGTGTTTTATCACTATGAATTGTGTGAGACTCAACTAGTTTTTGTGATGTTTCTGTGAAATAAGGACACCTAAGTTTAGACCTGTAAGAAGTCTGGTAAGACATAGTTTCTATGTTTTTGTACATGTATGTTTTCTCATTAACCCTTTACCCCCTAAGGCGAACGGCAGTTTTCCCAAATTGGCAAATAAAGACACTCTGCCTGTGTACAATATGCCATTTGAAAGCCGCTAATCAGCTTATTTAAGAATTGGCATCAGCAGCTATGAAGGAGGTAGACATTTTGAGAGAAATTGCTTTAAAATGGGAAAATGAACGACTTAAAAAATGCATCAATCGTCTACTATATTAGGTATACCCCTAAACTATAGCTTATTTAGCAGCTCGTAGTGCATAGCCTGATATGAAACAAGTCTTGCATTCCATTTGCATCCCGAAAAAGGAACTAAAAACTTCTGGGGGTGGTCGACCATGTCTTGGATGGGAGGAGGTCAAAATTTTATGACTTCAATGAGCAGATCTTCACAAGACAATTTTCATGGCAAAAATTTATAGAAATCTATCAAATACTCACAAAGTTATGACCGTGTGTGCCAATTTGCACTCTTAGGGGGTAAAGGGTTAATGGTTTCTGTGGAAAGGGCATTAAGGAGAAAGTTAGTAACTGGATTATGTTGATTTTGGACTTCTTTAAAATGTAATAAATAACCACATTATGCAGTAATTAATTTTTATGATAACAATGTGTTTGCCTTTTTTCAGATCGTGAAAACCAGTCAATTCTTTGCACGTAAGTAAAATAGTTAACATGCACAATGTGCTTGCACGTACATTCTAAGAGTGACCTTTGACACACAATTTGTTTATTTGAGTCATGAGCATGTGTCACTCACTCATTGTCGCAAAGTGCTGCAAATTTGTGAGAATATCTCACTCAAATTGAAGATGATAGATGGCTGTTTTCAAGAGCCAAAATAATTATATCACAGCTATTTCAGCACTAGCTAGTGTTCCACACAATTATATATTTACTGTGAAATAAATTTTACTTTTTTCATCCTATTAATCCCTATGATGGTTCTTAGAATTTGTCAAAGTAGACAATCACATGACAATTTACGCTGGCTAGTTTTGTGTTATTTTTTGCTCTCATATTGATACTGTAAAAAGTTGATCCCTTGTAAATTCTTTAGGGTGTCAGGTAGTGATTTTTTTTGCCGTATTTGTGTATTCAGTGGAGAGTCTGGTGCTGGAAAAACAGAAAACACCAAGAAAGTAATTCAATACTTGGCTTCAGTAGCTGGCCACTCCCATACCAAAGCAGCTCAAACTCCAAAGAAATCTGGGTCTACTAGTTCTGCAGTTAGCACAAAGGTTGGAATTTCTCACAGCCAGGTGAGTATTTTACATCTGATAACCCTACAGATTACTGTATACCTTCAAGAGTTTTTGTAGTCTGAAAGATGTGGCTCATCCAGATTACCTTCTAGATACCTTTTAATACACCTCTCTGCCAAATTATAGTTTCGAGAAGCTATTAATGGTGTGTTATTATTGGCTAGCTCTATGAGAGGACAACACAAACCAGATCCTGCAGTGCAAGTGGCTACTTGAGCGGACAAAAAAATCCATCTGGCCTGCTTGGGATTACCCACTGTGTCTTGCCAGCAAATGGTGTTTTTTAATGCCATATAATTATTTTTTTATTGGTCAAGCTTCCTCGATGAACATGGCTGGATATTGTCCTTGTTCATTTTGGGCATGTTTATGGATCTTGACTGCGTTGTCCATCCATGTGCACAAAAGGAACTTAATGGTGCTAGTTACGTGACTGCTGAACTATTGGCTTTTGAGATGTGTGGGTTTGATGCTATAATGTAGAGAAGATATTATTATTCTGGAGTTGTTTAAAAATGTGCTCTACTTTTTCAGGTGTTTGTCATTGGTAGATTAAGTGTTTAATAAATGATACTTGCTCTGTCTTGTAAGGTTGAGTTGGAAAGGCAACTTCTGGCAGCTAACCCCATCTTAGAAGCCTTTGGAAATGCTAAGACAGTGAAGAATGACAACTCATCACGTTTTGTAAGTTTTCTGTTTACACTGTTCACCTACTTTATTTGTTTCTACCACATCATTGAAACTTAATTACAATTTATCTTAATTTTAACTGTCTTATTCATGTGTAAGCTTCAGCAAATCTTAGCAAGGCTCAAAAAAAGTGTCATTTGGTCATCTGGGACAAGTAGATTCTCCTTCTGGGCAAATAACTTTTCACTCACACTTTCCCGATGGGCAAGGGATCAGTCAAGTAGCCTGCCAACTAAATCATTAAAAGAGCAAACTATGATTTGCTTAACCAAAACATAATTTTAGAGCTACTTGTCCCAAGGGCAAGCTGGAATTCAAGTTTTTTCGAGTCTTGCTTAGTAATAGAAATAAGGTAATAAATTGCATTCTGCACTAATTAAGTCAGAGTTTAATCTGGCCAATGTTCTTGTTTCACAGGGAAAGTTCATCAGAATCAACTTTGACGCATCAGGATTCATTGCTGGTGCCAACATTGAATCTTGTATCCTTTAGAAAATTGTTAATATCTTCTTGAAAGGATCCTACAAAGTAGTTTTGTAAAGCAGTTCTCTGGGATTAAGCATTCAGAGTTTCACTGCACATAAATGTGATCACTGTTTTTCATGTTTGCTAGAAACGCAGGAGTGAAATGTGATGTACAATATAGTTTTGTTTAAATAATTTTGTTCCCACCATTTTCACCATCTTTTAAATAAAACATATACATCTTACATTTATTTGATGATTTGACAACACACGGATATTTTAGGATCATTCCTCATTCATTTTGGTCTAGTTGAATTCCCAGTTATAAAGCTTACTAGTTCTTTGTGGAAAGTCTCAGGAAACCATTTACCCTTGACTTGTGGCATAAGACCTGCTTGAAAAGTCTCGTGCGGTACGACAAGCACCAAATGAAAGATGCTTTCACATTTTCTACCAAGTTCTGAATGGATTGGACAAAAAGACCAAAGGTAAGTTGGTTTGCATTGAAAATGTCAAAAGATGAAAGAAGGCTACATGTACATGTAAGTGTCATGTTAAAATTAACTTTAGTCCATCATGAATCATAAGCAGGGTATATCTCAGTGTTGAACGGCTATTTTCAAAGTAAATGATTACTGATCATCATATTTATTTATAAGCACCTGAGAAACAAAACCAAATAAATAAAAAAGGAAAAACCAAAGCAAAACAAATCAAAATGACTCATTCTCATTGGAAAGCATTCTGAGATTGGATTTAAAGTTTCCAAGATCCACAATTTTCAAGGTACCAAATAGAAAGGAAAACCTCAGATGGAACTAAGAGCAGTATCTGCACAAGCAAATCAAAGTAAATAACATGAATTGCTGAGAATTGACTGAACTTTGCTCCTGGTGATAGCACTTTGCTCTAAATTTTGAAGCAATATGTATTGGTAAAGACACTTTCACCCCTGGAGAATTGAAGCTGTCTTTCTCAAGACATAAATAATTAATCAAGTTAAAACAAAGAAAATCACAACCAATAAGGAGGTTTGAATACCCAGTTTTAATTAGCATAGATTTTAATGAGTTTACTTCTCCGTTTACCCCTTAGTTTTTGTTTTGATTGAGAGGATATATCAAACACTCGAGACAGTGTTTCATCGGCTTTCCAAACACCTCCAATTTTGTCAAAATACTCCGCTGCTCGTCGTCTTTAGCTCTCTTGGTTTTTGGATACTTGATGAAACAGTGTCTCTCATGTTTGATATATTACATTAATACACAACAAGGATCATCAGCACAGATGATCAGAACCTGGGAGGGTTGTGGGGAC